ACCAAAATGTATCAACTAAATTTGTCGCTATAATTCGTTTATTTCAATAATCAATTTAAAAAAAAAACGAATTAATTCATCCATCACAATTCTTCAATTCATTAACTTCAATAATGATAGCTGTGAAAAAAAAAGGGCAAAAATAAAGTGAAGAAAAGTATGAAATCTAATGAAAATTTTGCTAAAAAAAAAAGGTTTAAAAATTTTAAATTAAGTCATTTTTATGGTTGAAAAATTGATTAATTGTTTGTTAATTATATCTAATTTTTGCTGATAATTGCAATTCATCATTGGTCGTTATCGATAACAGTGTTATCAAGTAATTTATCAATAAATATATTGTCATTAGTTAATACTTTGCCTTTTTTTTTTTTAAAAAAAAAAGCAATTTAATTTTAATCGAAAAGGTTAAAATTTTCAAACAAATCCACTCAGTCTTTAGTGGTTATTATTTGGATTAAATTCCAAAAATGATAAATTTTGACAAAAACAATTGAACGACTAATTTTTATGCTAAATTAGTTCACGAAAAAAAAAAAATGTTCAGTTAGTTATAAAAATACAACTAATCGATCGGCAACAAATCAATTCTACCGAAGAAAAAAAGAAAAAATCATAGTGATTTTGTAATTGTCATGAAACAATTATCATTTTTTGCTAAATTTGCATAAAACCGCGCAGTTTTTTTTTTTTTTTTGTATGGGAAGTATTAATTTTAATAATATTACTTACATATAGTTTTATTGATTGAATTAGAAATAAAAATTTGTAATCAAGATTAATACAATCATATATCAATGCATAGTAATGATATAGTAAATTCTAATTAATAGGTTTCAACACAACACTTACATTGATTAATTCATTACTTTCTAAATATGCAAATAATGAGCAGAATTATTAATTCAGATAGTATTAGCAAAAAAAAAATTTCAGCTAAATAATAATTTAGCTAATAATTTAATAATAAATTAATAATTTAATAATAATAATAATAATTTAATAACAAATTTAACCATTGATATTGTAAAAATTAATTTTTACAACAACAAAAAAAAGAAAAAAAAGCATTATCATATTATAGCATCAAAGGTACAATTATATATGTAAGTGAAATAATTTACTCAACTTTTTGTTATTGGTAAAATTTTTTTTTTTTTTTATAGAATAAATCAACAATTATTTCCAGTAATACAATGAGAGCAAAAAAAAAAAAAAGAAGAAGAAAAAAAATTTATGAATTGTTGCGCGGAAAGTGATTATGAATGTTTGTTAAAGGATATTTAACAAAAAGCATTTGGCTAGAAAATGTTTCTTTTTTCTTTATTTAAAACTTTCCTTCCATTTTGTTGAAATGTCTGTTAATTCTTATGTCAACATGAAAGTTTGTTATTATTATTATCATTTATTATTATTATTATTATTATTATTATTATTATTATTATTATTATTATTATTATTATTGTTATTATTATTATTTGTTATTATTAGTTA